TATTATCAGTAAGAACACAAAAGATTTAACAATACTATGTACTGTCAATAAGAAGACACAAGATTTAACAATACTATGTATTATCAATGAGAACACACAAGATTTAACAATACTGTGTACTGTCAATAAGAAGACACAAGATTTAACAATACTGTGTACTATCACTAAAAAGCAACAAGATTTAACAATACTGTGCACTATCACTAAAAAGCCACAAGATTTAACGATACAGTGTACTGTCAATAAGAAGACACAAGATTTAACAATACTGTGTACTGTCATTAAGAAAACACATGATTAACAATACTATGTACTGTCAATAGGAAGACACAGTATTTATCAATACTGTGTACTGTTAATAACAAGCCACAAGGTTTAACAATACTGTGTACTATCACTAAAAAGCAACAAGATTTAACAATACTGTGTACTATCACTAAAAAGCCACAAGATTTAACGATACAGTGTACTGTCAATAAGAAGACACAAGATTTAACAATACTATGTACTATCAATAAGATAACAAGATTTAACAATACTGTGTACTATCACTAACAAGACACAAGATTTAACGATACTGTGTACTGTAAAAAAGAAGACACATGATTTTAACAATATTGTGTACTGTCAATAACAAGCCACAAGATTTAAAGATACTGTGTAAAATCAATAAGAAGAAACATGATTTAACAATACTGTGTACTGTCAATAACAGGACACAATATTTAACAATACTGTTTACTGTCAGTAAGAAAACACATGATTAACAATACTGTGTACTGTCAATAAGAAGACACAGTATTTATCAATACTGTGTACTGTTAATAACAAGCCACAAGATTTAACAATACTGTGTACTATCACTAAAAAGCCACAAGATTTAACGATACAGTGTACTGTCAATAAGAACACACAAGATTTAACAATACTCTGTACTTTCATTAAAAAGACAAAAGATTTAACAATACTATATACTATCAATAAGAAAACACAAGATTTAACTATACTGTGTACTGTCAATAAGAAGACACAAGATTTAACAATACTGTGTACTGTCAATAAGAAGACACGAGATTTAACAATACTGTGTACTGTCAATAAGAAGACACAAGATTTAACAATACTCTGTGCTGTCATTAAAAGACATATGATTTAACGATACTGTGTACTATCAATAAGAAGACACAAGATTTAACGACACTGTATACTATCAATAACAAGCCACAAGATTTAACAGTACTGTGTATTATCAATAAGAACAAACAAGATTTAACAATACTGTGTACTGTAAATAATAACACAAAAGATTTAACGATACTGTGTACTGTCAATAAGAAGACACAAGATTTAACAATA